CTCGTTTGGTTTTAGATCATACCAGTTGGTATCGTATATTTTCTGGCCGATTATCAAGCTCTAAAATGAATTCATATAAGAAAAATAATAGATCCTCTTCTACACAATTCTATAGAATTTATAAAGTCAAAATAATTTGTGTCCCGTCGACGTTGCTTTCCCTTTCTAAATGAAATATCGTATAAACGTCTTATAAAATGATGCAATTAATTGTACTAACTTTGGAACTGAGATATTCTCCAGCGAAACAAAGTATGAAAGCTTCCACGTTGACCACGGTATAATACGGTACAGTTTTTGCTAATATCGCGTTCCCTTCTTCCGTGCCAATTGACTGTATAATCGAATGATTTTTAATATTATTAATACTACCTCACCACCTAATTTTATAACAATTTCACACGCATTTAAGGATTCGATTCTCAATTGTAATGGAAAAACAACGAACAAATTTCAACTCACCGTCATTATAACGAATCCCGAGAAACAAATGGCCATTGTGTTGGAAAAAAATTGCAACAAGGCAATGTATGTGAACAATTCTTCGATATAACCGGAAAACAATATAATCCTATCGTGTTTGACAATTAATTTTTTCAATACATCCAAACAGGAACCGTGTTCGTCTATTTGGTTCATAAATTCTTCCATAGCCTGACACATTATTTCAACTTGGCCACCTGTATGAAGTATCTACAAGTAAAAAACGAACGAACATTTTCATTAAGAAAAATAGAATGTAATAAATAGAAAAGGAAACTAAAACTCACCATGGTCATCATAACGCCATTCAACATTCCAGATGTCGAGGCAAATGTTACTTCTTGAAAGAATTGTATCATGTTGATGAGTTCGTAAAATGGTGAGACAGTAGCGTCGAATGGAAATTCCATTTTTAATACGAATATTCTTTCCTCGGCAAAAATCACGGGAATCAAGAACATGATAACTCCACCCCCGTAAATGATCGTTGATATTTTGGAAAATTTATGAGCTATGAAAATTTTGCTAGTCATCATATCGACGTTTCTACCAATAGTTATACATTCCAGCCAATCCTCGTTCATCATAGCTACGATCTCGTCGAAAGTTCTACTTTATTAGGATCGTCCCTTTAGTAGTCATTTCATTATGCGTTATAGATATATGCAATTGTAATTAATTAATTATATTAAAATCAACTCACCGTTGTTTGAACCAAAGTATAATTAATTTGATGAACAAGAGACTGTTAGACACGGTGATACTAAAGCAATCCATTAACTCTGCTAGATCATCTGTTGCAATGTGTAACATCACGTATCGATATTCTAAGATCAAAACTATTCCTAATATTACCACCCAAAGTAAACGATGAATTATACTGTAAGTATATTTTGGCCATAATCCAATAAAGTATAGACCTAATTCGACCGGTTTACTGATAGGATTGTTATATGTAATTTCGGTCATCTTTCCACTTTATTTTTATTATATTTTCTAGGATCACACTCGGGTAAATCAAATCGTTCACACAGGGGGACAAGTAAAAGTGTATTTAAATTGATTATTTTGATGTTTTTTTTTTGTTCACTCTTAGATCTTTGATATAATCTAACGTGACTTATAGTCTAATGTGACCACATTCGCGACACTGTTCGATGTTTTTTTTTCCCGAGCGACATGACAGTTTCATCTGCGAGATATCCTAAGCTAATAAAAGTACGCTCCGATCAAATATTCTCTCTCTTTCTCTCTCTCTCTCTCTCTCTCGATAATTATACGTCTAAAACTGGTCTCCTCTCCTTCTCTATCCGAACGTTCGTAAATATATACTAACTTTGAAAAAATTTCATAGATAAAAACGTTGAAAGTTCTAAGCAAAAAAAGAAACACATTCAGCTAGAAAAATAATCATTTGTCCTGAAAACTTTTGTTAATATGCACTTTTAAACGTTATTATCTTAGTTCTTAATGAACGGTTTTGATTCCAAGAGTTAGGAGAATTACCTACCCCCATAGCTAAAATTTATTTATCCCTGTATCTACCTACGTACCCGTCGCGAGTACGCGTCCGCTTACCCGCGATAAACGGGAAATTGCAGAGGGACACGTAAAAAAAAAAAGAAAACAAAGGAAATAAAAGAAAAAGCAAAAGACAGAAAACGAAAAAAGCGAGAGAGAAAAGTTTACAGCTAAAATCGTACAGCCAATCAATCGCTTTGTACGAGACCATAAGATAATTATAGTTCGTCAGCCAGGAGTGGATTGATGATAAGCTCTCTCTTCGTCAATTTTACTCTTTAGTTTGGCTTTTTTTCTTTTTCTTTTTAACGTTCACCACGTCACTTCCCACTCCGGTCTCTCCTCTATCGTGAATTTTGAAGAAAGATAAAAAAATAGGAGGAGAGAGAGAGAGAGAGAGAGAGAGAGAAAGGCACCACAACTAAAGTCTACTCTACCGACGAGTACTTTTAATTCTCTTTCTGTCGACAGACCACACGCATCGTCCAGTTATTTTTTTTCTGCTTCTTTTATACCTTGCCATGGATATCGTGGGTGAGTTGAGAAATATACAAAAAAATTCCAAAATAAAAAAATAACAAATTTATATAATATAGAGACTTAATATTAAATTATTCTATGCAAGATTTGTATACAAACGTTGCATACCTTTGTGTGTATTATCTATTATCTTACAATTATAATATATAATATAATATAATACATTTTTGTCCAACAATAATTAATTAAAACGATAAAATATGTTATTCAGTACATAGCGTAAAGTACTGAAACGTACGAGGCTGATGCTTTTAATATCTGAAAGATAAGAAAATATTAGTGCAGAGATATGTTTGCGTTAGTAGATAGTATTTAACAAATTAAATATAACCGAAGGGGTTTTCTTTTTTTGCTCTAGTTTCGGGAGATATGCTGGCCTGGTTTTTATAACGAGTAAGGTGGGGTTTTCTGAGCTGATCCTCATTTTTTATGGGGTCACGTTTGATTAACTGTACAGTTAATAAAAATCTTACACTTGCGAAACCTTCCAAAGATAAATCCATGAATTTTCCGACGGTGATCGTTAATCTTTTCTGGGACCTGAGTATCAAAAGCAAGAAATATCGACTTTCATTCGGTTTCAGTTCGTACCAAGTGGATGTGTATGCGGCTTCGCCGATAGCTTTCCCCTGCGAAAAAGTATTCGATCGAAAGTTCTATCGACAAATTCCGAAAGAGATGAAATCTTATTCGAGCCAAAAATAAGTGAGCTTAAAAGTAAAAAAGAAACAAATAAGTGTAGGGTCGAAATAATAAGAGAAAAGAAAACCTTTGAGGTGAGATATTCCCCAGCGAAACAAAGAACAAATGCTTCCAAATTGACCACAGTGTAATACGGTAAAGTCTTCGCCAATATTACCAATCCTTGATCAGAATCAAAGGACTATGAATAATAAAAATACCAAAATTATTTGTCTTAGTAATAAATTCACAAATTAGAACCTAATGTTATATTCACCGTTATTATCACAAATCCAGAAAAGCAAATGGCCAAAGTATTGGACAAAAATTGTAACAAAGCGATATAAGTGAATACATTTTCGATGTTGAGAGAAAAATTGACGATCCTTTCGTGAGAAACGATCAACGATTTCAAAGTATCCTTGCATGATTTTCCTTTGATTATTTTAAATGAGATGTCAGTGAGTCTTTGGCACATGATCTCTGCTTGTCCACCGAGATGTAGCATCTAAAACTATGCTCAATAATGTACACACCGTTGATGTAACACTGATGTAACACTTGATATTACTCGTAGTAAAAAATAATTTAATTTAAACTTACCAAGGTCACGATCAGGCCATTTAACAGGCCAGAAGTCGAGGCGAATAATAATTCTTGAAGAAATTGTAATATAGAAATGAACTCGTAAATAGGAGATCGCATCGCGTCGAAAGGTAATTCCATCTTTAATACTGGTACTCTTTCAGGTGCAAAAATTACCGACGCTGAGAAAAGGATAACCGTTGTTGAATATAACAAAATGGTACAACTTGCGAAACGTTGAGATAGCATAACTTTGCTGTACATTCTTTCGCGATCGTTTTCTTCCTCGTTGTTTTCATAATCTTCTGTTATCGTCATTAAAATTGCTTCGAGAATTCTGTCGAACGAGTTCATTACGCGATTTTTAATTGAATATTTTCATTATCAATCTTTCACCACTCTGACTTAAATCAATTTATCACTGAAAACGTACGCTTACCGATCATTGAACCAAAGTATGATGAGTTTAAAAAATAGAAGACCATTTGACAACGTAATGGTCAAGGAATCCATTAGATCAGGCAACTGATCCGTCTTGATATGCTTTATCACGTATACGCATTCAAAAAAGAGAACAAATATCATAGTGATCGTCCAAAAAATTCTATGAATCATCGCGTAAGCATAATTCGGCCAGAGACCTATCAAACGCAGCCCAAATTCGACAGGACTGCATATTGAATTTTCCCTCATCGTTAGAATCATGCTATCAAGCTTACGTTTTCTTTTTCTATATATGTTTGTTCCGATTCCCTTTTTATTCTCGGTTTCTTTTTCTCCGCTTACACTGCGAGAACGTTGATTACAAAATATACTAAGCAACAGACAGTTTTCTTTTCTCCATTGTCGTAAGAAAAATGTATTTTTCATGAAACATGAATAATTTCTTATTTTCGACGCAAGAATATATTGCATATACGTAAAAGGCTATCAAAAGTTCTCGAAAATAGATATCTTCAACTTCACCCCACCTACCTACCCCCACTCGGTCGATATCTCCAATGCAATCAAGAGTTGTTTTCTTTAAAAATTCAACGATCGCGGCCCTCAATACACGCGATCGTATGTGCGCAATAAAATATCAGCGAACGGTGAAAATTGCAACGATACAATATCACAAGGAAAACAAAATATTGAAAGCTTTTACAAAAATATGAGAGAGGAATCGGTCGAAAAAAGGTACACACGCATTACAATTCTCATTTTTTAAACGGTCATTCGCTAATTATACAACATTTTTTATACAAATTTGAATACCTTCACTTTGTTTAACTAATTATTTACAAATAATATCCACGCAGTTTGCAAAAATCGATATAAAAAAACAACGTTCACTCGTGAATAGAATACAGTCTATAGATTGTCCGTTCACATTCCGTTATAAGCTGGACCACCGCCACCCTCTGGTACAACCCAATTAATATTTTGACTGGGATCTTTGATATCGCAAGTTTTACAGTGAATGCAATTTTGTGCATTGATCTGTAATCTCTCGCCATCGCCACTTTCAATTGGAACAAACTCGTACACTCCTGCGAATGAGAACAAAACGTTTTTGTGTGATCAAAACCGTGGTAGAAAATAATAAATAAAAAAGAAAGAACATAATTACGATATCACATAAGCGTGAAATATATCAATTCAAATCATACTTCTTTTTACAGAGGATTTTCAAATTTGTAGTTTGTATCATCGAAAGAACATTTATTAAAATGTACCCAGAGAAAATCTCGACTATGAAAAATCATTCTAATCAGGAAATATAAATGTTTCAGGTGAAATTATTCATCGGAAGCGTGAAAAGGGATGGTTGGACGGATGGTTGGATAGAAGATGAACAAAGAATTCCGTATTCCGAGGTTGTTGGCCCAGCCTACGTGCAGTGTGACCCTCAATTTTGGTGGTTGTGCTTGGTCGGGGGTTGTCTAGCCGAGCGGGGGTGGTTGCCCGGGCGGTTCAGGTTCAAGGACGCTCCGGTCGATAAACTCCCGACGTTGGGGAGCTAGCAAGAGTAAGGGAAGAGAGGGAGAAAGCTCCTGCAAAGGAACTCAAGCCGGAAATGGAAGAGGTATGTAGTCGATCTATCAAAGAGGAAAGGAAAAAGATATGGATAGAAAGAGAAACTAGAGTTACTCGAGTTATTTAAGGATTCCACAGTTCTTACTATCCATAGACCATTTAAAACTCCAAATCTGCAATTACTTCGTATTTGTTGATAAAGTAAAACGAGTAGAAAAAAAGAAAAAAAAAAGAAAATTGCAGGTTTACAATATCGAAAGGAAGTATGCGTTTATAATGAACTGATAAATATCAGCTATAAATATTCGTGGACACATTTAAAATATAGCTATAAGAAAAATTTCTTCGTCAAATATCAAATAACAAAGGAAAATATATTAATATGCGGAGGAAAAAGAAAAAACAGAATAATCCCGGCTATGTCAAAATCCGCAATGCGGATTTCACAGAGTGAGCTTGGCGAATGGTGAATGGAGTTACAAGATAGATAGACTTTTTCTATAGATTTGTCAACGACACAGTACGATTTTGACTTCTTACACGAAAATATAAAAGGCTGAAGTAAACTTTGCATCTAATATTACTGTAAAATATATTTTTACATACCCGCGGGACAAAAACGACCTTCGGGGCCATCGTATATAGCCAAGTTTTTTTTTACTGGCACAGTGTCGTCTTGTAAAGTCAAGTGAGGTGGTTGGTCCCCTTCGTGATTTGTTCCAGTAAGAGCGACCGACGATAATAAATCGAATGATACCTCGTTATCCGGTTTTGGATATTCGATTGGTGTACACTTAGATGCAGGTTTTAATTTTGCATGATCAGGTCCTGATAATAAAATAACACATGATAAATACATCGTGATATCTCTAACAATTTTGATATTATATATTTTCTGAGAGAAGGGAAATATTAAATACCTCCATGAGAAAAGGTCCAAGGTTCTCTTCCACCGATCAACATAGAAAATCCAGAATACATAATTCCTCCATAAAGACCAAGAGTCGTGTGAAAACTTGGTCTCATATTTCTAACAGCCTTTAATTCTTTGTATATCCAACTATTCTTTATTTTTTCAGAATAAGTTTTTGGTTCAAGACCTTTGCTTGACGAAGGATTCGTTTCTGCTTCTATGATAGCTTCAACCACACTCTCTGCTGCTAACATACCACTCTTCATAGCATTGTGCGTACCTTTGATTTTAGGTACATTGAGAAAACCTGCCGTACAACCAACCAAACAACCACCAGGAAATTGAAGCTTTGGAAGGGATTGAAATCCACCTTCTACTAATGCTCTTGCACCATAAGCTATCCTATATTTATCATAATCAGGATCAAAAATCATATTCATAATTATTATATTCATACTATTACCTCTTTCCTCCTTCGAAAGTAGGCCTAATGCTAAGATGTTGTTTGAATCTTTGAAATTCTTTAAATGGATGCAAGTAAGGATTAGAATAATCTAATCCTACAACGAAACCTACTGCAACAAGCGGTGTTTCTTCGTTGAGATGATATAAAAATGATCCACCATATGTATTCTTATCTAATGGCCAACCAACCGTGTGTTCTACTGAACCAGGCTTATGTTTCTTAGGATCAATTTCCCATATCTGAATAATGAAATAAAAGTTATTAGAATTAGAAATTGTAGAGTAGTTTTACAAGATACGTACTTCTTTCAATCCTATACCATAGCTTTGCGGTTCACAGTCCTTCCTCAAATTAAGTTTCTTCGAAAGTTGTTTAGTAAGATGACCGTGACAACCTTCAGCAAAGATAGTACACTTTGCATGTAACTCCATACCTCTTTCAAAAGTTTCTTTTGGAGAACCATCTTTTGCAATTCCAACGTCATTTGTTGCTATTCCTTTCACGGAACCATCTTCGTGGTATAAAACTTCTGAGCCAGCATAACCAGGATATATTTCTACACCTGCAGCTTCAGCTTGTTCTCCAAGCCATGATACAACATGGCCTAATCTGTAAACAACCTACTTCTTTACAAATTTTTAAAGGATATAAGAAAATTCTATTTCCATATACAATGTAAAATGTATTTTTACCTAACTATATAATTCCCATGATTGTACATAGGCATACCCTTGAAAATAGGTATCGATATTCTTCCTTTTTCTGTAAGAAAAGCAAATTTATCTTCCGTCACTGGTGTATGTAACGGTGCACCTAATTCTTTCCAATTTGGAAAGAGTTCAACCAAGGCAATTGGATCTAAACATGCACCACTAAGAATGTGTCCTCCTACAGTAGAAGCTTTTTCCACTAAAGTAACCCTAAGTTCTTTTCCATGCTTCTCTGCTAATCTTCGAGCTTGTATAGCTGCTGACAATCCTGCTGGACCTCCACCAACAATTAATATATCTGTCTCGTCTACGAATCTTTCCATATTCACATCTAAAACATATACAGATATTTATATATGATATATCTGTAATAATAATTAATATTTAACTGATAATTTATAGTTAGAATAATACACCAACCTTTCCATCTTGGATCTGTTTCTCTCGGTACTATGGTATAATGAGTTGTAATTTTTGGATATTTGACATCCGAATAAGCACGATAAAAAATTTGTTGTAATCTCTGCTGCACTATCAAAAAAGTAATAAATAAATTAAATTCTCGTGATTAGATATACATAGTTATATACTATAACGAAAAGAAAAGATTTTCTAATTGCATAATCGTATTGAAAACAAAAAAACAACATTGCATAAGATTCATAAATCGCGCGCAAATATTTAATGCATTAGCATGCAGACCGCCATGTTGCATCAGCCAATCAGAAGGCAGTGTATGGTTGCCATATCAACTAGCAAGCTTCCTATTAGTCGATGCGCGTTCACGTCGAGATGTATCTACGTCGCATGCGTGTACGTCAGTAGTAAACAGACACGATGCAACAACGTTAACCTATACGAGAATTTCTCAGGACTCTTCGATAAATTAAACGATAAAATAGATTATATGTTATACTTGTCTATTTTATTTAGACCGATAAAATACTGTAATCAATTAGTTACATAAAAATTACGAATAGAACAACCTAATGATTGACGATAAATGTGTTTCGATCGATCAAATTGATTCTAATAATCGACCCTGATCAAAGTCCAACTTTCTTCTGTATTATTTTTCGATTTCGTCGCTTTCGAAAAAAACACAATATATTGAAACATGATTTTTTTTAAATATAGAAATATATTTTTAATTAAAACATCTAGTAGATATCAGCATGATAAGTGTAACAAATATTCTACATAGGAAACGATTTTATCACATAGGCATAATTTTTTATTTCTTTGCTTTTATTGCAACAATTTTATTAACAAAAAAAAAAACAATACCGACGATACAATAATCAACTTACCAATTTTTGAAGAGCGAGACACAGAGAAGGCCATGTCTGCACACTGGCAAAGCATGGATATCAAGGATTAGATATAAATAAATGAATAACTTTATTAAACAATACAAAGAGTCGTAATTAATTGTATATCACATAAATCCAAGTTCGTGCCTTGTAACAACAATATTATTTCTCTTTTACTGCAGTACATTTATTATCTGACAACAAGTGATATCTCATACGTATTAAAAAAACAACGAACGATTTCGAAAGTCAAAGAGTTCTATCGTCTTTGATTTATTTCACGAAAGAAATAGTCGTTGATTAACTTACCATCCTGAATACATACAAGTAACGACATCTACAATTGAGTAATAAATACTCTTAATTGCACACTTTATCAATTAATTATTTAATTAGTTATTAATAATTGAAAAATCGAAAACGTTTTTTCTCATTTCAAAGCAAAGCAATGAAATTTTCTATTGTTTTTTGTTTTCAATCAATTGCTGACTTTTTGTTTGTCCGTTTTTATCCGATCTTTCTAGCTCCAATATGATATCGGTTTTTTTTTTTAATCTAGTAAGTCTTTTTCTCTATACCTGTTCCAAAACAATCGTTCTTAACGAGTAAACTCCTTTAATTAATAATCAAAACAAAATATCTATATTAGAATTCTAATTATTGTTTGCTTTTAAATGTATATAGAATTTAATTACACATTCACTTTGTGTACACTACTTACTATTAAAAGTTACTAGGAGATAAGAAAGTTTAAAATTTATTAAAATTCTAGTAACATCGCTAAGCATCATATCGGTAATAGTAGTGATCTACCTTTATCTGATCGACAGTCGGTAATACGACTTACCGACCGAAAAGGTCTGATGATAGCTTACCATCAGATCTCGGCCGGTAAGACAAAGGTAGAGCACTACTATTACCGATATCGGCTTAGCAATGTTACTAGAATTGCAATATATTTTAAACTTTCTTATTTCCTAGTAACTTTTAATAGTAAGTAGTGTACACAAAGTAGTGAATGTGTAATTAAATTCTATATACATTTAAAAACAAACAACAATTAGAAATCTAATATAGATTGTCTTGGAACAGGTACAGAAAAAAGACTTACTAGATTAAAAAAGACACCGATATCATAATGGAGCTAAAATGACCGGAGAAAAACGGACAAACAAAAAGTCAGCAATTGATTGAAAACAAAAAACAAAAGAAAACTACATTGTTTTGCTTAGAAATGAGAAAAAACGTTTCCGATTTTTCAATTATTAATAACTAATTAAATGATTCATTAAAATAAAGTGAGCAATTATATAGATTTTGATTGAACAATTAGTGAGTAATTAAGGGCACTTATTCATTTTTCTGCTGTTGCGGTTCTATGCCAACTTTTTTGTGCTGCATGTTAGTTCTATCTGAAATGGCGAGCAGATTCTTGGAATAAAGTTTGGCAAAGGAACACGAGGGTGTAAAAAACGAAAGAAGAAGAAAAAGAAAAAGCAAGCAAGCAAGCAAGCAAGCAAGCAAGCAAGCAAGAAAGAAAGGAAGAAAGAAAGAAAGAAAGATCAGTAGTCTGCAATGGTAGGATCTCGGAAGGGCTAACGTCCTAATATTCAAAAACCGTCCCTCCCATTCATCCTGTCGTGAGATGCAACGGCAAAGGCAGACATTGCGCCCGTCGTCTAATAATAGAACACCGATTCCGTCGACATATTATACATATGCTCCCTAATATGCATTCGAGTATGTATAGGATGTGTATGTGTACGTTGTCGATGCGCCGCGTACCAAAAAAATAAACGCATCGTGCGTGGGGGTGGGAGGTTTAAAGAAGAAGAAGAAGAAGAGGAAGAATGTAAGGCTGCTTTCACGCCGGACACGTTGGTTGTAGTCCCATCGAATTTATATGTACATACTAAACGTCTTATTCTTTTTCTTAGAAGGACAAGAGAATTCGTTTGAAGATAATGAATGAACACGCGATTAATAAATAATTATGAATATATATAATGGTAACGCTAACACCTGTTCGCTCGCGTAAGTAACATTATTTAATTATATTTACATAAAAAAAGTGTTATAATAAAATCAATGAATTTTATATATACATATATAAACTTATAGAAATTGAATAAGTAATGAAGAAAGGGGGAAATGGGGGTAAAGAAGAAATGAAAGAAAATTCTGTTCGAAAGATGGATACCAAAAATTCTCTCCTCAGTCTTACTTTAGGTTATTCCACTCTTTGACTGTTTTTGAAAAGAATAAGAAGAAGGAGCTTATCGGTTAAACGCGATCCACATTGCCTGGTTCTCTTGAGCGGGCGAGGATACTCGGTGCATTGAGCCGGCTTAAATACGACGTTGCGCAGAGACAGAGGCGTGGGACAGACACTAAAAGAGAAAGAAAGAGAAAGAGAGAGAATGCATAAGATGAAGAAAGAAGAATATAGTAGTGGTTGTATAAGAGGGAGAAAGAGAAGAGGTTGGTGTACTACGCACGCATGCACGAAGTTGGTGAGCGAGCGCGTGTGGCGATTCCGCGGGTCCGTGGCTTTGGTACCAGCCGAGGGCTCCTCAGTCCGTCTCGCGAACTCGGCGCCGAGGGAATGCGGCTCCTCCTCGGAAGGCGCCCTCCCTGCATTACCAGCCTCTTCCGTGATCTACCTCTTAATAAGAACGACAACAATTATACAACTATAAGAACAAAAATAACAAGAGGAAGAAGTAAACCAACGAGTTCTATTCCCTTTTTTCTCTTTTTACGTCTTTTCATTATTTTCATTATATGTATATGTATATATATATATCTGTCCTTCTTCTCCTCTCTCATCATACAAATAGACACATACATACACATATTTGTATTATTTAGAGAAGAAAAAGAGATTGAAGTTTGGAAGAAGATTGAAAGAAAAACTATATATTATTAGTCTCTGAATCTATCTTACATTTTGATCATTTGTTATAGTAGTAGTAGTCTTTTTCTTTTTTTCTGTTACACACACAATTTTAAATTGAAAGAAGATAGTGATCCAGAAGAGGAAGAAAAAAAAGGTGAAGAGGAAGATAATGAAGATTGAAAGATAGACAAGAATTCTCTTTTACTCGTTCTTTTATTTCTATCTTATATTACATTATAAATGCACATTTGTACTTAGAAAAAGAGATAGAGAGAGAAGAGTAGTAGTCCAGAAGAGGAAGAAGAAGATTAGAAGATAGAAAGAAAGAGAGAGTGTATTCCGGCGCCACGATAAAAGCATCATCATCCCTCCTTCTCTTTCTGTTGCTCGTATCATCTCAGGGAAGCTAGCTGGCTAGCTCTGTGTGTTAGGCTGCCACCAACAGCAGTCCAATCGTGACCGTACGTCCGTCTGTCCGTCCGTTTGCCCGCGTGCGGGCGCGAGCGTGCGGGATGCGCGACGCGGCTTCTTCATAAAAAAATAATACTAACTTTTCATCGTATCCTTCTTCTTCTTCTTCTTATTTTTCTTTATCCTGATCTCTATGCATCCTGATTTGTTTCATACTTGTTTTTTATCATACCGATTTGAATTGCATCAAATCGTTGAGAGAGAGTTGTTTGATTAGTTAACGCGAGTGTTGATTAGAAAACAATAAAATAGTTGAAGAAGATTGCAAGGACGCGAAGAGGTGGGAGAAAGGATATTAGAAGAAAATGGGTTGCTCTGAGGCCGATGCCGAAGCTGCCAGCTCCAATGCTGTTGACTCGGATGGATCCGTCAGCTGGGAGGATTTCTTTGGTATGTTTATATATATATATATATACATAAATAAAATTTATCATTAATATCTTTTTGTGATTTTATTTTTCTAAGAAATTTGTGTGTTTCATAGTTTTGTACGCATCGATAAATCTTATTATAGCGAGCACGATGCAAATTTTTTAATCCAATCAAATGATTACGTTATATTATTATGCAATGGGGACTTTTATTTTCATGATATTTTTTTGAGGTGAATTATAACATAGTATTATAATTGTAATGAAAAATGTGCAGTCGGAAATCGGAAGTTCTTATCGTTTACGATTTAGAATCTAATTGATCCGATTAGAGTTTTATCCATTTAATCGATTGAATCATACTGAAAGGTTGACTCATAAATTACCGGCAATGTATTAGAAAATTCATTTTTTTTTTCTTTTTCATTTTGTTCTTTTAGATAAGAAATATTTCAACGTAGTTTGACATCGATTTAAAATTGTTAAAACAATTTTGTAACTATCGTTAACGGGAGACTTCCTTGACTCGTTAAAATATTCTAACTTCTTATCTCTAAGTATACGTATGTGTATTAGTTTTTGCATATCGCGTTAGAAATACCAAACGTTTCGTGCTCGTCCAATATTTCACTTTGGAAAGACATATTTCTCATATTTTGCAATGCACGAACGCGCGTATTGTTATTGAAAATATTATCAAAAAGGAAAAGAAGAAAAAAGAACAAAAAAAAAACAAAATAATAATCAAGGAGTAATTAAAATGTGCAGAAAAAAATTAATTTTTTTTTAATATAAAAACTTATAAATATTTCCAACATAAAAATGCATTCACAGTAATCGAGTATAAATCTAAGATTTCATTTCTCTTTAGAGAATTCTCTGTCTCTGAGGCCATGCACCACAGTCTTCTCTCCGTTTCTCTGCTTGCCACGTGTTGCACGCTCGGTGAGCACGTCTAAAAGATCTTTCAAGCATCTTCACCGAGAGAGGAATAAAAAGAAAAAAAGAGATAGATGCATTGATAGATAGATAGATAGATAAAGTTTATTACATAACACATCTCTCATTTGAAACGGTCATTAATAACAATGAATGTTAAGAATTTTCTTAAACCAGTACGTTCGCGACTTCCGATCGAATGAGATCTCTTTTTGCTACTTTTTTATTTATTTATTTATTTTCTATTTCGTTTGTATATTTTAAAATAGAAGAATAATCTGCGTATAAAATTTACGAGCAGAGATAAAACAAACTTCCGAAATATAAAAAGAATTTGTATTGTTCCTTTTTTCCAAATATTATACATTGATACTTTGAACACAAATAAAAGGGAAAGAATAGAAAAGAAGAAATGATGGGGGTCGGTGATGGGAAACTACAAGCGGCTTTTACTCGGAAAGCCTTTAAAACTTGTCTTTTTAAGCGGTATCTTTCTTCTAAAGAGGATAGACCTTCCACCAAGTCGACAACGACGACAACGGCCGATTATAAAGTGAACAAAAAGAGTGAATTGCTACCTGCTGAAGGAGAAGTTTGCTTTGATATTTTGACGAAATTATTTCACGTTAATACTCGGTGAGAAGAAGGGGCTGCTTGGGAGGGATTTTTTTTTTTTTCAAATTTTAACCCCTTTGTACTCGAACTTTTTCTACTACCTTTTTTTCTTTCAATCATAATGCCAACAACTCAAAATAATTTTAATAGAAAAATCATATTGACATATTATAATTAAATGATATAATGTTGCGCGTATTTCAAAGAAAAGTCATAGTTAATTATGTTGTAGACTAAATTATTGAATTTGCTTGAATTTTTGTTTTTGATTATTCCTATAGCAGAACCCTCGAGTGCAAAGAGGTGGTTAATAAGCTTCTTTTTTCCTTCATTTATATTCGCGTTGAAATAAATATGAGAAGCGAAAAAATGGGGGGAAACAATTTCGTTGAAGGTGGTTCGTTAAGAAAAAATTCTCAAGGCGCAAAGTAAGAATATATCTTTTAAATAGGAATGGCGCAAATAACAGATCCTTCGGCTCATAGAAAATGCTTGGCACGAGTATCGGGAGGATGTGAAAGAACGATTCACACTAATGACTTTCGTGTAGGTGCACTTCGTAGAGATTTACGCGTACACATTTATGCTCGTGATGGCACGTTGAGTTTAAACGGCGACGACGACTATGGCGACTATGGCGACGACGACGACGACGACGACGAAGAAGACGAAGAAAACGAAGACGGCAAAGTCCTTTTCTTTCTCGTCCTATTCGCCGACGAAGGTGCTTCTCGCAGGTGCCTATCCGACACCCTAAGAGAATAAATTATGATCGAGCGCCGCTGACAAGATTATCGAACCAACCTCAAAGCCTTTTCCTTCTTCTCTTCCTGAATTCTCCTCCTCCTCCCCCTTTTACCCATTGGACTTCGTGACTTATCTTACTTAATCAAAAATTTACAACTACGATAATAATAGTAATAATAATAATAATAATAATAATAATAATCTTGTGTTTCTAAAATAGGAAAGAGATAAAGGGGAAGGGGAAATAATACGATGTTTTAAAACAATTAAGAATTTCATCGGAATACTTCTAATTGAACGATTTAACAATGATCGATAGCAATCAATCCGTAAGTAATACTCGAATGAAATGAATTGTTCGACGAAATAACGGATATCTAAAGCACGATCGATAATGTTCCTATAACGGTTTACACACTCGTGATTCCAAAGTGAAATGAGGAATCGTAATAGAATTACTTTGCTAGTATACGTAAGTAAAGATAACGACGTCATTATTGCCACCATTTTGATTATTTTCGAAACCACTGTGCATTATAATCGCGTAAATTCATATATATATATCTTTCGAATAGACCGAATTAATACGAAAGATATGATATTTACGTTTAACAATGAATTTCTTAAAAGATTGATTTGGAAAAATTCATGTATAGCACATATATGTGTAAAGTATGTAGTAAATAAGATTAAATAAGATATACGCGGAGAATGATCGTGGCGTATTTCACGCCATGGAAGAGAAAACGTTTGCTAGGTTCCTTCTACCAATATAAAAATACTCGTAGGAGATACTTATATGTATATAGATAGCATACACATAAACGCGCGCGCACGCATATAAATTTATTTATATATACGAATATATGGGGTATAGATGTAGGATTCGATTCGTCCATAGTATCTTTTATTTTTCTCTTTGCAAGGCACGATTCGTGTGTACTGTGAAAGCGACATTACGTTTTATCCTTCCCTTATCTCGAAATTATCTCGAACACGCTCTCGACGATTCCTTCATTTTTCCTCTTCTCTTCCCTTTTTTTTCATACTTATATATACATATATATATACCATATATGTATATCTGTATCCTATGTGTTTGACGATCGCAAAATTGACGTTCCTTCGTTCTATCGTAGAACGTTTAAGTTTCCTTGATAAAATGTTCGATTAGAAAAGGAAAATGAAAATGATAATGATGAATGAAATTCCATGGAAAATTTGGGAACATAAACACGATAGTTTTCATTTTGGTTGTTGCAAGGAAACGACTGTGATTATAATTAATACAAAACGAGACGTAAACTCGCAAAGAAGGCAACGACTTTGAAGACACAAGTGCTGAACTTAAGGATGCTGGCTTCTAAACAAAAAACTCTCTGTCTTTCTCTCTCTCTCTCTTTCTTTGTGTCTCTGCCGGATGCAACTTATGTTAGAGAAAATGAGAGGAAGAGAGAGGGAATATTCTAAAGGGGAGACAGAGATCGTCTCGTTTCCGTTCCGTCTCTGAATTTCTCCTATCTGTATTTCTGTCTCTCTCTTTTATGTATGCACGTCACGTGAATATATTTCCACAACCTACCCTCCCCCCCCCCTTCCCCATATTACACCCCATACGAGTTTTGCAAGGTGCACAAATGTTTGTCACAAACCCATGTAACCCCTTAAAGTTAGATAAGAGTTCATTATTTCATCACCATTTGGCGATAAGACGTTCAGCATTTTAGTAAAAACATGATGGCTGTATTATAATCCACCTCGAAACACATTCCAAGATATTATTTAAACTCATTTTAAAATAATGAACGAAGAGAAAATATCGAGGAATTCGCTTAGAAAAAGAATAAATTCTCACGAGAAAGAATAAGAAGTAGTTTGTTGCGAGATACTAAAACGCAAAAAGCAAAAAACAAGGGGAAGAAGAAGAAGAAGAAGAAGAAGAAGAAGAAGTGTAGTTACTTGTTGAAGATTTCAGGCACAGGCAAAATGCGATTTCGAAGGGCCCGGCAAATTACTCTGAACGAAAAGAAGTCGGCGGCGAGGTTGTTACTTGTAAGATCGAATGTGCCTACACACCTTTTGTTGCCACCCGTAGGAATTGCCTACCCTCTCTTTCTCTCTCTCTCTCTCTCTCTCTCTCTTTTTCTCTGTTCCTCAGAGTTACACCGACGACCACTTGTGTGGCCTCTCTTTTCCTCGCGTCGGCTCGTTTCGATCGAATTCTTCGAAGAAATTGCCTTCTCCAACTTCCTGGAGAAAGAAACTAAACGAAAAATCCTAAATGGATAGTCTCTCGATGATATCATCTTTTAGTGCGGAAACTTTCAAACAGTTCAACAAGAAGAAACTAACAAAATTTACGTTTCTATTCTCACCACCCCCCCGTAGCGAGGATTTTGTCCCCTCTTTGATACATTATACTAACAATAAGCGAGAACATGAAAAATATTCACAAGTCGAGATTTTCATAGACCCATCGTGGGAAAAAAAAAAACTCGTGGAAAGGGGGAGGGGGAAGCGAAGGAATTTAGAATTTGAGAACAAGCAAGAAGAAAATGACAACAACTAAGGAGAACTACAGGCGTACAGTTTCGAAAAAGAAGAAGATACAATCTTCTTTTTTTAATTCTCAGAGCATTCCAGAAATAAAGGGAAGAGAAAAAAGAAAAGGAAGAAACCTGGTCAGCAGCATTCTGATCGTCGGAGTTCAGTCTCAAA